ATCATCATGATTACCATGACTGGGTGAGGTCGTAGGGTCGCTGTGCAGCTGAGCATCTCCCCAGTTCCATCCATACATTTGAGTTGAAAGCCGGTGAGATCATTCATTCATGGGTAGGTGATCTTGGACAAATAGAGCGGGAGGAGCCCATGCAGCTCCAGGTCAAATCATAGCCGATGTCCCACAACCTAAAGGCTCGACTTGGTCGGGCACACGTGGCCGTTGATTCCATCGGGCGGGTGATGGGTAGACCCTCCGGCCTGGTCGTTGACTTCAGTCTAGGATGCCGTCCGCCTAGCGATGCTGTGTTATCACCTCACTAGCTGCATACATAGTCATGGTACTTAGTTCCCTAACTCCCATTGTTCTAGACGGGTAGTGATCCTACAAGAAGATTCATTCGACCTTTTTAATCCTGCTTTATGTCTAACCATCCTACTCATCAGAAAAGCCTGCTGGGTGGGGACCTGTTTAGTCGACGATAACACGACCATGTGGCAGAAAGTAATAGATCTGTTGGTACAAGTAGTGTTTGAGGAGTGACCTAACATAAATGATAAAAAAAATAATCAAGCAAATTGTTTGGTTGTTCTCTACGCTATGTTGCCTAGACTCTTCGAATTTAAGCACAGTACTAGACTGACGACGAGGTCCCACAGGACTACAGTTGCTCTGGATAGATGTAACCATAAATTCTATTCTAACAGTTTCTTTTCTCGCACTTCACGCTTGTGGAACTCCCTGTCGGCTCCATGCTTTCCCAGTCAACTTTAATCTGAAAAAATTTAAGAGCAATATCGCTCGCTCTCTGCTGATTACTCTTCCTCTGTTGTCGCTCCTTAGCAATGTCCATCTTTCTAACTCTCCCACACCCATTAACCCCTTGCGTCTTTGTGGCTTTACTGCCTCAGTTGGGATGAACTCGATTAATATATATATATATATATATTATAACGTTTGAAGTAATATATATATATATATATATATATATATATATATATATATATATATATGATAAAAATATTGTTGAAAGGTATGCTACACTTATGGATAAAAGTTCTCAATATTAAAGATAGAGCGTACGTAAATATAAAAGTGAACGCAATAATCATTGAAAATTATGGAACGCTAGAATTCCAGTATCCCCTCCTCTTCGTGCGCATGTGTAGTCGGAACAAATTAAACATCACTTTAATCTGATTAGGTCCTAAAAGATGAAAGGCTTCAGTTATTTTGCCACTTTGTTATGATTTTTTCTAATATTGTTCACGTATATAAACTTTATATCTCATATTCTCCGATATATATATATATATTAGCATATATATATATATATATATCTATATATCTATATATATATATATATATATATATATATATATAAAAGAAAGAACAGCAAGATATATAATCCGGTGTTCCCATAGATATTTTTATTTTTACAAAATAGTGCTCAATGTAAATTTACAGAGCATTAATATTATAAATTATATAAATTTTTGAAACATGGTTAGAACTGTGTAACGAAAAAACCATATTTTAAATCAATATATATATATATATATATATATATATATATATATATATATTAGTACTATATATGTATATATATATATATATATATTAGTATATATATATATATATATATATATATATATATATAGTACTATATATATATAGTACTATATATATATAGTACTATATATATATAGTATATATATAGTACTTATATATATATATAGTACTATATATATATATATATATAGTACTAAACTGACAACAAGATGTCCTCCACTTTACAGTTGAACTGGCTAGATGTAACCGTAAATACAATGTTAACAGTTTCTTTTCTCGCACTTCTCGCTTGTGGAACATTCTGTCAGCTCTATGCTCTTCACTCAACTCCTTTTGATTACTCTTCCTCTATTCTCGCTCCTTAGTAATGTTCCTGTTTCTGACTCTTCCACACCCAGTCACCCATTGCGTCTCTGTGGATATACTGACTTGCTTCGGGTGAACACGATCTTAAAAAAAAGTACATTTTTCTCTCGGACACTTTATTTTATAAAGTATTTAACAATATAAAACAAAAACTGACATTTTTTCGAACTGTTGGCCTCGTCTTTATCGCCATATCCACGACGTTTCAGCTGTTGTACGCCTCGGTCTTCTTCAGCTGATTCACGCTGGAGTTTTGAATTGATGAGAGTAGATTGCTCTAATTCCACGTGACATACATTTTTTTTTTTTTTTTTTGATATTTAAATATCAGTTATGTTACATTAGAATCTCAACTTTCCAATTTTTATGTTCTCTCCGCTGTGACTAGGTATTGAACTCACAACTCTTTCAACCATCTCAACCAACGCTTTTAACCACTGTGCCATTTATCAACCATGCCGAAGACGAGCAAATAAAATTAGCATAAAGAATTTTTTTAAAGACAGCCAAACATCCTGATATTAACAAGAAACAAACACCTTTAGTTTATTCTATCGTAACTAGATATAAAAACAAGATGAAAAAAACAAGAATATAATTCACCGGTATTTAATGATTGCAATAAACACTAGATTTATCATTGACCATAAAAAATTTTTAAAACTTTAAGCCCAAGTACTATCAATAATACGAAACTCAAAAGCTCTTTTCTAGCACTGCTTGCTTGTGGAACTCTTTTCCTGTTCTTTAATCTTCAAAAATTTTATTGTAATGTTAATCACTTTCTACTGTCGTCCTGGTTACTTTTCTGTTGTTCTTGCTACTTAGTAAATAATGATAACTCCGACCTTATCGATCCAGGTAACTTAAAAGAATTTCCGAACTGAACACTTTATTTAATTTACGTGAAGGTAGTTTCTAGTTCTTCATTTATATCATCAGTTTCTTTTACTTCCCTTATTTTTGTTGTTGTTATTTTAACGTATCGGCCGTTGTGCCCTCCGGCCTTCATCAGGTGTATATGGCTCAGGGTAACCTACAGGGAATTCTGAGCTGAACCCTTTATCTAATCTACGTGGGGATAGATACATTGTGCTACAGTCCATGTCTAAGGATATATTGTCTAGTTCTTATTTTTAGTACTGTTCAGTTATTGCTACCCCCACCCCCGTTTCAACTAATTCCAAGTACGCATTACCCGGCCTAGGGATTGAAACAAAGTCACGAATTAACGAAAAATCATTTATGTTGCTCAGTTCTTTGAAATAATATGTGCGAAGAAGAAATTCTTTCGGCACGTTTAATCATGTTTTTTGTTTTGTCTTATATATATATATATATATATGTGTGTGTGTGTGTGTGTGTGTGTGTGTGTGTGTGTGTGTGTGTGTGTGTGTGTGAAAAGTGTGTATATAAATATAAATAAATATATATATATATATATATATAATTTATATATTATATATGGTAATTATTAGAAAGCGCTCAATATCAGAGATAGAGCTAACATATTTGGTTGGATTGATGTGAGTTTGTGACCCTGGGTTTCACGCTTTAGCGATCGTCAGACAAACTATATATATATTAAATAAATAATTATCAGAGGCAGATAACATAAAAAAAAAACTAGTTTTCTTTCCTCTCTCTTTAGTGCTCTACCGAGTACTGAAAAATGTTCACATCAAATAAAATAGTATTTTTGGTTGATTTTGTTTACCGGTATTTGCAGAGACTGTTAAGCCTGAAGGCGCTTAGAATATTCACAGGCATCTATATTTCTTGTTATTTTTAACATTACTCGCCCTTCATAAAAATACAAATATTTACCGAAAAAATAACCTGGGGCTCTATTTTACCGAGACTGGTAAAATAAGCTTAAAATAATGTTTTATTTTAATTTTTATTTTATTCTTCTTAAAAATAACAACACGCAGATTTTGTTAAACGAATTTAAAATCTGTTCCTCCATCAACTGTCAAAACACAAGTTAAAAATCATTTATTCATCAGCAATTATTAAAAGAAATATAGAAGTCTCTGAATATTTTAATCACTTTAGTTATAACAGTCTCTGCAAATCAAAAGCATGCCCTTGGGCATGATTCTGTTATTAATAAATAAGTGCAGAGTGCAGAGGATTCAGAAAGAGTTGGATGAGTCTAATGGTGATTACGAAGGTACGGCAGCTCGGAAAATTCACTCTGATCGTTCTGATAAGAAAAGAACTCCCGAATTTGTTGGTGAGGCCCTCAGACTCAACGCGAAGGCCTACATCAAATGCCTTGAGGAGGTAGTGCTGCTCTTGGTCAAGAGGGTGGCTGCTAGCAGACGCTATGTCTGGAGACAGGACTCTGCACCATGCCGCACAAGCAGGAGAACCTAGTCATGGTTGTCAGACAATTTCTGCGACCACATCTCCCTTTACATCTGGCCACCTAACTCCCCAGACTGCAACCCCCTTGATTATTATGTGTGGAGCGCAGTTGAGCAAGAAAGCAACAAAACTCCTTGTCACACCAAAGATGAACTGAATGAAAGGGTTATGGCAGCATTCTCCTACTTAAACAAGGAAACCGTCCAGAAGATTTGCAGGAGATTCCGAAGTCGTCTGAAGGCAAATGGTAATTTTATTGAATAAATATTTTTTATAAGATATTTTTGTGTAATTTTGGGAAATATATCTGTTATAATGTCAGTACTTTCTTTTTTGCTTAATTTAGACAACAATTTATCCATCGCAACCTGTATATGCCGATGTCATATCTGCGCACAGTGGTCTACTCAATTGATAGATTCGTTTATTACAGCTTATCAACCGTTTGCAAGTTATTTAAAGCCAGAAAATATTTTTAGATTACAATAGTGTTTTGGAGGGGGAGGGGAGGGAGGGAGACAATAACGATTTAGTGATACAGGTCTTAATAATTTAATAGTTGTAGGGGAGAGGTGGATTCATACTTTTCTCAAGGACATTTAAGCGAAAGTGAATAAAACGAACCCTACTGGAATTGGAACTCGGCTCTCTGGTTAACAATTCCAAGCCATCCTCACATTCATGCTTACACGACCTGGTACTCCCAAGCAGTCACCCATCTAGGTACTGACCAGATGCTTAACTTCAGGGATCATACGGGAACCGATGTTTCAACGTGATATGGCCATAAGCTCTCGACAATTTTCCTCTCCTTTGTAGCTTTGTCTTTCTTCTTTCTATCTCCCCCAATCCCTGTATTGTTAACCATTTATATAAACTCGTCAAATAGATTGTATGCCGCTTTTCCCTGTCCTCCTTGCCTTCAGTATATCCTGTGAGTGTCAAATTTCTCAGTCCTCTCTCGATGTAGCCTAGAAACTTCAACAGTCTCTTTCTTATACTAAGTAAAATGTACTTTTTTCAATTTTCTCTAAAACCTCACTGCTCAAATGTACAGTCCATGGTTTTCTCAGCATCCTTCTGTAGAACCATATTTCTGTTGCTTCAACTCTCTTCTTCATCTGTGATGAGATTGTCCAGCATTCACTTCCATTTGTTTTACATCAATAGCGGCATTTTTCTAGTTTTCAATGTGATGATCGATATATTCACGAATTATAATACTTTTCGGTAAGTAACAAGTTAACCTCCGAAAGACTGTGATGTTTGTGTGACCAATGTAAGAAGTTATTGTTGCTTTTTGTTCATTGGTATTGGATATCCAATCTTCCAAAACGACGCCAGATTTTTTTAATCGGGCAAGGCAGTAAAGCCACAGAGACGCAACGGGTTATTGGATGTGGGATAGTTAGGAATAGGAAGTTTGCATGAGAGAGGAAAACAAAAGAAGAGTAACCAGAAGGACATTAGATAGCGATTGACATTGCACTTAAATTTAAAATTGCCTGGAAATCATGGAACCGGAAGGGAGTTCCACAAGCGAGAAGTGGGGGTGAAGAAACTGTTAGCATAAAATTTGCGGTTACATTTCTCCAGCCAAACTGTAAACTGGTGAGACCTCATCGTCATTCTAGTACTGTGCTTAAATTCAAAGAGCCTAGGCTTTCTATTGAAGAGCTCATCCAAACAATTACCATTCACGGAGGTGGTATTTTGAGGTGTCAAGTTATTGGTAATGATATAAACTGTATTGACTTCACGGAGGTGGTACTTTGAGTTCACAAGTATTCGGTAATGATTAGGTTAGGTGTTTTAGACATTTTACAGTCAATGATGAAATCTATTTTGTGTATTGCAATCATTAAGTGATATGTACTGACGAGTTATATTTGTAATGGCTTTTTCATCTTGTTTATAACGATGGTGCATCTGGTTACGGTATAATAGTTTAATGATGCTCTTATTTTTTTGTTATTTTTTATTGCTCTACTTTTTGCTAAACTGATTTGAGGTTAATTTCATTTGCTCGGCATTGACATGATTACAAGGATTATTACTGATAAGTGGTTCATGTAGCTCAATTCTTTATAAATTACTGTTTGCGAAGAAGAATTTTTTTTTCTCTCAACTAATTATGTCTTTTTTTTTTTCAAAATAGGTATTTTTTATCTGGGAGTCCATTTATATTTGCTATTACGAAAAAGAATTACCAGAATTTTCTTCTTTTTCTCCAAACTAAAAAGTAAAACATGTCAGATTGTTAAAAATTTATTATTTTATTTATTATATTATATATATATATATATATATATATATATATATATATATATATATATATTAAAAGTAAAAAAAAAAAAGAAAGAACAGTTAGATATGTAACCCGGTGTTCTTATTGATATTTTTATTTTTATAAAACAGTGCTTAATGTAAATTTACAGAACATAAATATTATAAATTAACGGATGTAAAAATACGGTTACATCGCTACACAGGAATTACTATGTTTCAAAAACAGAAAACCAAAACTTAAAATTCAATTATATTAAATTAAAAGCATTAATTCTGTTTCATCAAGATTCGCTTAAAGATGAAAATTTTGTTTTCTGTTTTTGAAATATGGTAATTCCTGTGTAGCGATGAAACCATATTTTTAAATCAGTTTATTTAATATATATATATATATATATATATATATATATATATATATATATATATATATATATCTTGTTGTAGCATACCTACGGACAATAATGGGTATGTCCCCATTCACATAAATACAGTAGTAAATACTGTATGTTGGTCTGCAGTTGGAGATTCGTCTCCCGCTGTACTAGTCAAACTTCCTGCCTCCAGGCAGAGAGGATCCCCAGACGAGGCTATGTCGAAGGGTAGAGTCTCGTCTCGGTAAACAGCTACCCGACCCCGTTTTATGCGGTGTCTACGGGGAAATTTTGTCCGAGCACATTAAATTCGGCCTTATGCCACATTTGACCGCGTCATTTAGAGATTCATTGTGGAATTCACTTGACTCACTTTTAGCAGTTGACTACCTCTTCTACGCGTCGCTGGCGAATCTTATATTTGTTGTTCTTGTCCTAGGTATTAATGTTCATTACCAACTTTCGTGTGATTATTATATTCAGTAAACTTCCCTAGGTCATATATATATATATATATATATATATATAGGTACGTGGCCGAGTGATCAAATCGTTCGCTTTCTAACCGGGAAACACGGTTCGAATCTCACCATGGTCTATTTGTCAGGAAGATAACTTCTTGAGGATAACGGTCTGGAGGAGGTGATCCCAGCGTGTGGCACCGTTACAATGTGCCTGAAAATCATACCACGACTTGACCCAAGCCTTGTGAATGAAACTGGGAAGACGGTACCCTAAGGGACCGTCGATAGCTGTGCTATCACAAGTCACCGTTTGAGCGTGCTGGCCTTCTTCAGATTGTTGATCACGCTAGAAAACACACTCTCTCCCAGAAACTGTAACTAAGGTCTGCTCAGCATAGCTTTAGTATAAACAATATATGAGCTCTGTGTGCACAACATGCGCCTGAATAAGCGTCTGCAATAGGGATTAGCTAGCTTAAGACGAGTGATCAGCCATTAACATTAATATATATAATATTCAATATATTAATATTCAAGCTCTGAAGCAGAGACGCCATCAAAATCCTGCTTTAACAATTTTTTTCCCTTACATGATTTTATCAACAATAGTCCCTACTAACATGCATAAGTGTAAAACAAAAAGCACTATCCAATGCTGACCTTCATTTATCGTTCACAATAGGAGAGTCCATCATAGTTTCAGTATAAACCACAGTATAAACAAACACAAAATGCCCCTGGGCAGGCGTCTATAATGATCTAGTAGACGGGTATCCTCGAATACGTGTGACCAGCATATATATATATATATATATATATATATATATATATATATATATATATAATGCTAATGTCAGTGTGTCGCTGCGTCACACTTTTTCTACTTAACGGGACACAACTCTCTAACTTTCAATAGCTAATTTCCAATGAAATTATTATGGTTCTCAAATTATAGTGTTTCAAAATAAAATTCTGCGTGTTTTGTAACTTTAGCCTTAGAACCCGTAGCCCAACATATCATATCATTTTTAATCAGGCCAACCCCGTGAGCAAATTAAGACCATTCTGGGCCGGATCCAGATCCATAATCCTGAAATTTGGGATTCCCAAGTGTGCATTACTGTGATTGTTTTTGGTGATATTTTTACGTGACTTTTTCCAACGACTTTTTTGTAGGATAACAATTTTTAGAATTTGGAAATAAATTTGGAAATAATCGAAATTTTTAGAATTTGGAAATAAATTTGGAAATAATCGAAATTAATTTCAAAATCCAGGGAAAGTCACCCATGAAATAAAAAAAATAATTGTTTGTACGGAAAGTAAGGACCTACGCACACCAAATTGTCTTTAAATTCAGCGGCAACAGAAGAATTATCATTGGACATTTAAAAGGTAAGTTTAAATATTAATGGAATGCAGCGATCAATTTTGAGTTCTTCTGTAGTTTATTGTTTCATTTATTCCTCCCTACCGATTGGGATGAAGACACAATCAATGCCACCTATAAGGAGAGTTCCTCTTGCTGACCACCATCCATTCTTGTCATCAGCGGCGGTGTGTGCTACTCCTGAACTCCCCGACTTGCTTTGTGAACCTGGCAATCGTATCAACATTAGCAGTTTTCTACCTACATTTATTTATATTACAAATTAAACTAACCACAACTGACTATTAAAGGATGAAATATTTTCGCTCACTTTTACGTCATTCGAGATAAGAAGCCACCCCCCCCCCCGTCATTCCGGGGGGGGGGGTTCTTATCGTCCAAATCCGTGAATTTGTATTACTCATGCTAAGTCGCGAGAAAACGTTCTATAAAATTCACTATATTTTATCCATAATTTTGAACGTGTTAAACCTATTCAACTATTTAGCAAGAAAAATCTCAACTTGATGTTAAAAATCGCCGCAACACATTGTTGATTTATTTAAAATTGAATGATCTATTATGATATTTTTCTAATTTGTATTTAGGTACATTGTATTTGTTTTCAATTTTTCTAGTTGAATTGTTCACCGAGTTGAACTGTTCACCTATATTGCATATAATCCACTATTATACATAAGTGAAAATAAAATTTGTATTTTATGTGAATACTACTTTATGAACGATAATCTACACCCAGCAGCAAGGCTCCTGATCGGGAGATTAGAGGTTTTGAGAAGCGTGGAACTCCCTCTTAATTGTTGTTGTTCCCAGGTCCACCCTGACCCGGGGTGGTGACACCTGTTACGCTCCCAGCTATAGATAAATAGCGAAAGCCCCGAAACAAAAATCAACCGTAAATTTTTATAGTAAAATTACCAACAATACATTTTATGTTCTACAATATATAAATATATATATATATATATATATATATATATTCTTGTGGTAGGATCCACCTAATTTGCATAGTGGAGTACCGACCATATAAATATGGTTGGTACAGGAAAGAGAGGGAGGAATCAAGAGATTCTACCAGAGACTCTGCCCGACTACGACTCAGTCAACACATTCTCCAGGAACGGTCTTACCAGGAATATACAAAAGACTATATGTAAATATTGTGTACACTTTTCTTGTTCCAATACATTTTGTTCTAAGTACATTTTGTGTTGCATTATTATTCCATGCATTAGTCAAGTTTCAACATATATATATATATATATATATATATATA